TTTGTCGCAGCTGTTCGGAGATTAAATAGTTTAAAGCTAAGATTTGGATTAGGGCTATGGTTGCTTTTTTTTATGGCAGTAGCATGAAGAATGATTGCCAGGTCGTAAGACTGTGCGAAAGACAGATAAACAGACAGAGAGAGGAAGTGTCTGTAGGTGTGGGTGTGGGAACTATGTTTGCGGGACACTGTACATAACTACAGCAAGCACCATCGAGTCAATCTTCGCAAATGGTGACAATTCACTTGATGACCTGGATGCAGTTACACGTACAAGCATAATTTGAAAGACAGCGCAGATATCGATTGCCCCATTGGGATGAGAAACCATGGCAGGCAATGGATGTGGAGAACCTCTTGGAAATGGTGTTGAATCTGCCGTCTTTCCCATCCACCGCCCCGAGCAGTTCCGAAGGTTTTCCGCATCCGCGAAATTTTCTCTTCTGGCCGGTTTCCCCGTGTGCGCTTCTCCAGCTTCATTCCATCCTATTCCTATACTTTACCTTTTTTTCCTCTCTCCCCCCCCCCATTTTGCGCTTCCCTTAGTTGGTTTGGGTTCTGGGGTCCGGTTTGCACTTGCTTCAATTGCTCCTCTCCTATACCTTGTATCATATTCTATTATTTTTCTTATTCAGTCTCCCTCCCGTTCCGTTTCCAGTTTATTTTCTCCACCGCTACCCGATTCTTCTTCGGGTTCGAGTCATCAAGTCGTCGCCAGGTCGCTACGCTTCTTCAATACTCCAGTCACCCTTCCTCTCATTACGGTCCGGTCAATTCATCAATTAGTCCGCTAAAATGGCCCAGACCAATGGCGAATTGGAGCACTCGAAAGGTTTGCTCTCTCCGAAATTCTCGCAGCATGTTTTGCCTTCTCCCAACTAATCAATCGTCCATGCAGAGTCTCCCGAACAGCTCCTCAATGGCGACTCCCCTGTTGAGGGCCAGGAGGAGGAAATCAGCGGTGGTATGTAGCCTTGAAGAACACCTCAAACTACATTGATTACTGACGTGCACGGCTCTTACGTTTCCAGGTCTTTTCCAGATCTCCGTGAAGTTGCCTCGTGAGCCCTACAAGATCCAGGTCATGGTGGGTATCTTGTCTACAGGAAAATTATACGACCAGCACCAAATTCCGTCGTTCTAACCCAGATCCTTCGTTAGGTCTCGAGTCAAGAACAAGTCCAAGACGTTCGTCAATCCATTGTCGAACTTCCCAGCACCTTCCAGTACACCTGCTTTCACCTCGAGTTTAACGGCCAGCGCATCAACGACTTCGTGGAACTGTCGGAGGTACCAGACCTCAAGGCTGATTCCGAGATCGTCCTTGTGGAGGACCCCTACAACGAGAAGGAGGCCCGCATGCACGTTGTCCGCATGAGGGAATTGGTCGGTGCCGCTGGTGACCGTGTCGATAACCTCCATGGTCTTAGTGCAGGTTTGTCTCTGCACGATGCCATTGCGGCCGACGCCGAAGAGACTGCCTCCGACAAGGACCACTCCCTTTCCAAGTACGAGATTGCTAGCTCTCCATCTTTGAAGACCATCCTTCCTCGCGACGAGACTCCTCTTCCCAAGACTGTGAAGGCCATCTCTCTTTCTGCTTGGAACCCTCCCCCCTACCACCTGCGTCAAAAGGGTCACTTGCTCTACCTTCAGGTTACCACCAACGAGGGCGAGCAGTTCCAGATCACGTCCCACGTCTCTGGCTTCTACGTGAACAAGTGCTCGAACATGAAGTTCGACCCCTCTCCCAAGACCATCCCCAAGTGCGGCAAGGCTCACTCGCTGCTCTCCTTGATCGCCCACCTGTCGCCTTCGTTCGGCTCCTCTTTTGAAGCGCTCCAGGAGTCTAACAACAAGAAGGATCTCCTGACTACCTTCCCGTTCCAGAACGCCATCCCCAACAACCCGTGGTTGGTGCCTTCTCCCACCTCGAACGCCAACGCACACCAGTCGGATATCACTCGCTCCCAAGAGAACTACCTCATCTCTGGCGTTGACAACGCAGAGACTCTCAGAGACTGGAACGAGGAGTTCCAGACTACCCGGGAGCTTCCTCGGGATACTGTCCAGGACCGTGTTTTCCGTGAGCGCTTGACATCCAAGCTGTTCGCCGACTACAACGAGGCTGCTGCTCGCGGTGCTGTTCTTGTCGCCCGCGGCGAGGTTGCCCCCTTAAACCCCACCGAGGACCGTGACGCCCAAATCTTCGTGTACAACAACATCTTCTACTCCTTTGGTGCCGACGGTGTTGGTACCTTCGCCTCCGAGGGTGGTGATGAGGCTGCCCGCGTTGCTGTCGGCAAGGATGTCCTGGGTATCAAGGCTGTTAACCAGCTTGACATCAACGGCCTGTTCACCCCCGGAACTGTTGTCGTTGACTACCTCGGCAAGCGTATCGTTGGTCAGAGCATTGTTCCCGGTATTTTCAAGCAGCGGGAGCCCGGTGAGCACCAGATCGACTACGGTGGTGTTGAGGGCAAGGATGTCGTGGCCACCCACCCCGACTTCGTCCCTGTCTTCGAGAAGATGTCCAAGGCTCTTCGTGTAAAGAAGCACGCTGTCTGGGACAAGGAGAATCAGCGTCACGAACTGGAGGGCAGTGTCGAGACGAAGGGTCTCTTGGGCACTGACGGTCGCAAGTACGTGCTTGACCTGTACCGCGTGACTCCCATGGATGTTACTTGGCAGGAGGAGGAGGGTAGCGACGCCTATCCCCACCGCATGTCCGTGCTGCGCTTGGAACTCGTTGAGTCGTACTGGAGACACAAAATGAGCCAGTACGTCAAGGCTGAAGTTGAGCGCCGCCGCCAGGCCAAGGCCGAGGAGGAAGCCTCTAAGGAGAAGACTGAGGAGACCTCCGAGTCTAAGGAGCAGGAAGGCTCTGAGGAGAAGCCCGAGGAGAAGTCCGAAGAGAAGCCCGAGGAGAAGACTGAGGAGTCTAATGATCAGGAGCGTGTTGATATCTCCGGATTCTCCCTTGCTCTGAACCCTGATGTGTTCAGCGGCCAGGTTCCTCAGACCGAGGAGGAGAAGGAACAGTGGGCGCAGGATGAGAAGGAAGTCCGCGAGACCTGCGACTACCTGCGCTCCAAGGTCATGCCCGAGCTTGTTCAAGATCTGCATGACGGAGACGTCGGTTTCCCCATGGACGGACAGTCTCTCAGCCAATTGCTGCACAAGCGCGGTATCAACATCCGCTACCTCGGCAAGCTGGCCCAGCTGTCCAAGGAGAAGGGAGCTCGTCTTGACGCTCTGACCACCCTCCTCGTCCAGGAGATGATTGCTCGTGGCTTCAAGCACATTGCCAACCAGTACCTCCGCAATGTCCCGGCTCCTTTCGTTACCTCTTGCGTTGCCCACTTGTTGAACTGCCTCTTGGGCGCTGACGTCAACGCCAGCCCTCGCGCTGAGATTGACGCTGCCATGCGCTCGATCTATCCCGATGGTGACTTCTCTTTCGAGAAGGTCACTCCGGCTACTCTCCGCGCTGAGATTGAGAAGCAGGTCACCATCCGATACCGCTTCACTCTGGAGGCCGAGTGGTTCAACTCTCTGCGCCACCTGCAGCTTCTCCGTGACATCTCTATCAAGCTTGGTCTTCAGCTTGGTGCTCGCGAGTTCGTCTTCGACAAGTCTCAAATCCCTGCCAAGGTGCCTGCTACCAACGGTGCCAACGGTTCCGCTCAGGAAGAGGGTAACGGCAAGAAGAAGAACAAGAAGAAGGGTGGCGACTCTAGCTCCCCTGCCCGTGCTCCTGTGGAGGAGAAGCCGGCCCTCACCATCTCCGCCGATGATATCCTTAACATTGTGCCCCTCGTGAAGGACGCCTCTCCCCGCAGCTCGCTCGCTGAGGAGGCTCTCGAAGCCGGCCGTATCTCTCTCATGCAGAACCAGAAGCAATTGGGCCAGGAGCTCATTCTGGAATCCCTCTCGCTTCATGAGCAGATCTACGGCATCCTCCACCCCGAGGTTGCCAAGCTCTACCACCAGCTCTCTATGCTCTACTACCAGACCGATGAGAAGGAAGCGGCCGTCGAGTTGGCTCGCAAGGCCGTCATCGTCACTGAGCGTACTCTGGGTGTTGACTCCGCCGATACTATCCTGAGCTACCTCAACCTCAGCTTATTCGAGCATGCCTCTGGCAACACCAAGACTGCCTTGGCCTACATCAAGCATGCTATGGACTTGTGGAAGATCATCTATGGTGCTAACCACCCTGATTCGATCACCACCATGAACAATGCCGCTGTCATGCTGCAGCACTTGAAGCAGTACTCCGACTCCCGGAAGTGGTTCGAGGCTTCTCTGGTTGTGTGCGAGTCGCTCTTCGGCAAGCAGTCCATCAACACCGCCACAATCCTGTTCCAGCTCGCCCAGGCCCTGGCCCTCGACCAGGACTCGAAGGGTGCGGTTGCCAAGATGCGCGATGCTTACAACATTTTCCTTGCCCAGTTGGGTCCCAACGACCGCAACACCAAGGAGGCTGAGACCTGGCTCGAGCAGCTCACCCAGAACGCTGTTTCCATCGCCAAGCATGCCAAGGACATCCAGGCTCGCCGTCTGCGCCGGATCAACATGACCCCCCGCACTCTCGGCACCAAGGTCCAGCCTCAGGTTGGTCAGTCTGCCCCCGAGGCTGCTGGAGCCAAGAATGGCACCTTGGATGCTCGAAGCGTCGATGAGCTGCTCAAGTTCATTGAGGGCGGCGACCAGGGCTCCTCGAAGGCTAAGCAGAAGAAGCGTGCCGCCGCCAGCAACCCTAAGCTCCGCGGCTCGAAGAAATCTTCCGCTTAGACTCAATCCTCCTTCTCTCCTTTTTCCTTCTTCTGATGAGGTTATTGGGTAAAACGAAAAGCTGCTCTGGTTTTGTTTTCCTTGGCTTATAAATGTCTTAACATGAATGTTGTATTTTGACCCCATATATCCTTGTCAAGGGTCAATATGTTGGATGAGCGGCACGTTTGTATTTCTGTAAAACTCTCTCTACTCTTTCGCACCAATTGGTGATCATGGCTCTATGTTGATTATATTTATACACTTCGTTATTTCTCATTCTTTTCCGCGGGCAGAGCATAGCAAAGTCGGGTGATTTGCATGCTATCTGGGTATGTTTCCATGTACTATATATGACCAGCGACCTTCCAAATGTGTCTGTAATGAATTTTAACACATTACTCTGAGTTCGCCTATTCTTGTACACGATTCAATACTTAACATCTCTTTTCCACCGAATGCCAATTCTGATAGTTGGGCCAGACGATAAACAACTCTTCCGTAGTTGACTGATCATGGACGTCACCGCCCTGACTAAGACGAGGGCGCTTGACCGCCTTTGCCGATTGTGCCAATGTTTACGTTCTGCGGTCACAACATCCAACCTTCTTTGTCCCTCTTTCAGAAATGCATACCTCTTGGGCTTTTCTGCACTCCGGCCCTCTAATCTTATTCTGCATTGGAAATCCTTGTATCTTCTTACAAAGTATTTTGTTTTGGATTTTGGAGTCTTCCTGTTACATCTCATAACTTGAATTAGCAAGCAGCCTAGTCGCTTACAAGATCCCGGTCGCGAGCCCGCTAAAAGATGGACTATCTATGAACACCATTGAACCCATCAAGTCCGGTAACGAGATTCCCCTCAAATGTTCTGCGATATTTGGATTGAGACTGACCGAGACTTCGAAGCGCAGACCGCGAGCCGACTGGCGCAACATGGAGGACATCCGACCGACCGCGAGGTGGGCAAACCGCATGTTGCGCCCTTTGACCTCCGTCTACCACCGATTAGAAAAGCACCACGAGATCCGTGCTAGTGTCGCGGATGCGAAAACGAAAGTCAATGCTGGCAACGGCAGCACAGAGCGCAAAAGTGTTCCGTCGAACCGAAGCAGTCAACCCGCGACCGACCAAGGCTGTACCTACCCGGACGAAGAGCCTGACGATCCCGCCTGGATTCCCGGACGACCCCCGAGCCGCCGGATTCGACACAATTACTCGACTCGGGGGCAGAGGAACGGCGCGCGACGACGGACTCGAGTGACAATTCAGAGCCCGGAAGCGCAGCGGACGTTGCCTGGCGCGATTGAGATTGCGACTCCCTTGATTACCGGAAGATCCCACGGGTCCTTGGACGCCTCCTCGTCCATCAGGAAACAGCTCTTCCGGAACGTCATATCGGCCACTGGCGATGGGGAGGCTAGCGACAATCGCAAAGGCACTCGCTCCAACAATAGCAGTTTCCCCGCCTATCAAGGTTCCTGGAAAGAGGTACTCGATATCTGTGGGAACCCGGGATTTGTGGATATCGCGCGCTATTTAGATCAAGTACTTCTTAAGTTTTTGAATAACACTCGCGAAACTCCGACAGTTATACCTCAACATGCACACATTACACGCGGACCGCGGTCGCTGATGTCGATGGCACTGCGCCGCCTTCCGGAGTTTATCGCAGAGGAGCAGATATTACAAGATGAGATTGAGGAAGACGGGGAGGTTGATATGTGCGATGCTTACTTCACTGAGCTTGAGGCCTTCTATGCGTCCAACGACGGCGGGTGGCAGCCGCTGCGCGAAGCAGCGCGCGCACGAGGCATCCATTTGATCTCGGACATGATCCGGAGAGGATGGATTCCGAGATTGGCCGCCTGTCGCTTGCTCAAAGTGTGCTTGGAAAATGATGAATTCGATGCTTTTGAATCTTTGTTATCTCGTTGCTTGCTTGATGTGGCCACCTACGAGTATCCTTCGGCTTTTGAACCATCCAAGGCTAGTGACTATCGCGAAGACCCTATTCGGGTGCTGCGTGTTTATTACTCGCGCGTCCCTTCGCGGCGATCCTTCTTCTACGATGAATTGGCGAAGCTTCTCACGCGAGGGGTGTTCCCTCCTGAATGGATGGTCACCAGCCTATGGAAGAAGTGCGTTGATGGTGCGATCCTATCGGTATCTGCCGGAGACGGGGATTCCGCGGCTGCGACCAAAGCTGTTGAGGCCATCGTCCTCGCGTCTGCTGGCATTTACTCGAACACAGGTGCGATTTCAGCTCGTTGGGAAGGCCCATCTGCGCAGCGCTCTGTCAGACCGAAGGACACACGTGCGTCCACAATGAATGCGAGTTCATTGCTTGAAAGCCGGGCTCCATGCCCCGTTCCTATCCAGGACGCTTTGAGCAATCTCATCGCTAGTCTTGTGACCGCGCTATGCGGCATGTGCATTACACGCACGCAAGCATCTGGGCCTGATGAAAGGACAAGCGGGCTCAAAATCCGGCAAATGGTTACGCGCTTTGCATTAAACGTTCAAAGGGCCATTGGAATTGTCTCGACACCTGAGGAGATCCAAACACTGGGACTACAATCCCTCCGTCGCGGATATGTCCTGTTGGGCGATTTTATACTACAGGCCAACCAAGACGTCCCGTACGATCTGATTGTGTACTCTGATGCATTGTCAGAACAACACATGAATACATTTTGTCTATCTTTGGCTGGGCAGCAGGATACGATCAAGGAGCTAGCCGAGTTTGTTCAACAAGTTTTCCATTGCTGCGGGCATGCGCGTAAATCCGAGCCGACTCGCACTCCTCAGGAGATCAAAGACACGGTCACACGACTCGCTCGGCTGACGTCTTTGGCCGGGGTGTCTCTTCTGCTGGACAAAGTTGCAGCCGAAACCGCGATGTTACTGGCGGAGATAACTCTGGACGAGGATGACCACGTATGGGCATTAGAGATGCAAGGTGAAGCTATCTCATCACAGCAGGAGCAGAGGGCTGCGACACGGCCTACTGCAACGAGTGAAGCATTTGCCGACCAGCCCGGCGATACTTATCGATGGGAGGATAGTATTGGAGAATGGGTCGCAAACACACCTGCCTCCAAACCCCTGGCCGCCCGGCCGAAACTCACGTCGAATCTTGACTGCTCAATGAGCAGTAGCGCTTCGGCCAGTCCAGCTCCGTCCGAGACGATGGCTTCCAGCGTGACATCATCTGCACCATCGTTGACCGGCAAGAGGGAGCGTGCTCAGCAGGACTTGGAGGTGCGGTCGCCCAAACGACTTCGATCGGCCTCGCTGAAGATGACGAGAGGAAGCTCTGGCGCGACGCGCCACGAGCCGAAACGGCCAGTCGAATCAGAATCTGCACCTGTAGCCGCCCGGACTCGCACGGCTCTCCGCGACCTCTGCCAGGCCAAGAACCGCATGATCCAATCATCTCGAACGCTAGAATCGACCATCGGCAGCAAGGATCTGACCCCTGTTACGAGTGGTTGTAGGACAGTTCACCCCTTGCCCCGGATCGAAGTGGTTATCGTCAACAGCTTTGCACCTGCACTTGGCACGACAAGGACTCAACCAGATGCCGTGCTAGTCTGCAGAAAATCGGCACGATTAGCTCGAGCCTCAATCTCTGCTCCTGTCCCCGCTGTTACCCCTACGGCCATTGCGACCGAGTCGAATAGAAGAACGACTCGACCTCGTCGCGCACGACTACCACCGCCGCCGCCGCGGCCGCCGGTGAAGTCCTATTTCGACGAGGACAGTGACGATGAGCTCAGCTTTCTGGCTTAAATCGTAGCCTCTTATGTGAGTATTTTAATACCGTTTGTTCTACACAGATTTTTCAGGGTGCGCATGCATCATCGGGCATGGCGGGCAGTTTATTAGGAAGTTCCTCGGTTCAGGTTTTAGTTTATAGTTTTCTGGATGATACCCGGGGCGATTGGGATAATGCTTTCGCATGTTGAGGATTTGTTTGGAGGGACTGTTTGATTGTTTGTTGATAGAGTAAATCAAGGGTTTGTGGAATCAACTTGGCACCGAAAGGGTTTCATTTATCATAAGCATGGCATCATTGACGGCGGGTTCGAGATCCGGTTTCGAATAGAACAGATACACACAGAAGAGAGACATTGATTAATGGTTAATGCTCCGTAGTTATTCTTGGACTCTTGGGGGTCATGGAGTTGATGGAGTTTTCCGTCCTTTTGTTGACTCCCCGGGGGATGCCAACTGGAAAAGGTTAGAAGTGTTGGAGATGGAGAACTGACGGGCAAACTTGGCACTTTGTCAGGTGTCTGTCAACTCTGTCAACTCTGTCAACGGCCACGACTGGGTGTTTCAACTTGATGGAGACTTATCCCTGATCATTATCCCGCACGATAGTTGTATGGTGGAGGGTGAGGAAAGACCAACACAACATCTCTCCAATCCTGAGCAATTCCCACCACCATCACCACCACAACGCGTGCGTGGTGTTTAACCGCCCGGCGTCAGCACTTTCTTCAGGCTCTTGCATTATGCATCTGCACGAATCCTTTTTTTCCCAACTAGTACTCTCTGTAACTAGAGTCTGTACTACTTACATGCGACGGTACCTTACTTACTCCCTACCTCACCGACTTCAAAACCAAAACAAATGAAGAAAGCAAACCCACTCTGTCCCGCTTGACCTCCGCCGGCGTCTCTCGTCCTTCCGCCTGCATTGGCTCGCCCGACGCAAGGGCGTCAGCCAAGCCGCGAGATCTCAACCCGACCTCCGCTTGATTGTTTCAGCATCGAGCCATTGACCTCTCGAAGTCTCGCGGTCGCCCGGATCAGCCGCTGTGGCGGGCGCCAATCCTTCCTTTGGAGCCGACGATGCACCGCGGTAGGATGGATATGTCCAATTCCTGGGCTCGGAGGCGAATACTGCTGTCTAGTGACTCCAGTCTAATGGCCGCCCATCCAGCCAGCCAGCCAGCCAGCCAGGAGTGCAACCAGCCAAGGCCCCGCGACCCTCTCTCCCTCAACTCTCGTCTCCACCCTCCACATGATGATAATCTGAACTCAGGAAGCTCCAGCTCAAGATGGAGCACCGGCTCAGCATCCCATGAGCCTGTAATGCACTGACTCAATTTCCCCCTCCCCCTCTAGGCCCGATGACAGTTTGCTAGTAGTCGAGTGGGCTTAGAGACCAGAGCACAGGGCAAGACACAGAGAAATGAAGCAGGAAGGAAGGGGATTTTTTTTTCTCGCTTGTTCTATCTATGTATAATCATTCCCCACGGCTGGGGAAAAACCTACTTTTGTTTCCCTTCTCCCTTGACAGTGTCTCCGTAGTGTCTGTTCTTTTTCTTTTGCACTTCATATTGATCCCAGGTGGTCCTTTCGTTTCTTTGCCTCCACTTTTGCTTCTTATCACCCCCTTCTTTCCGGGGTCTGTTTTATTTTTCTTTTCCTGTCCCTTTCCCTGAGGGTCTTGTCTCCATTTGCTTTTTGGATTGTGGTCTAGCCATCGGTCTTCAATTCTCTCATTCCTGTTCAAGCTGTAGGAACTAAGTGACTGGCTCACCGAAAGCTCAGCATTCCATTCGTTGCCTGCCGACCTTTACAATTTGGCTCGAGTATTCGGGTTCCCGGCGACCGTCCATTCCTCTCACCTTTCAGGAAAGCAAGGCTTTGTATCCTGTGCATCGTGGCCTGTGGGTTTGTTGTGCGTGACAAAGCGAGTCAAAGACGAGACGAGGAGAAAGCGAAGACAACGCCATTGTTGGTGATCTCCATATCCAGGTGGTTGTGAGGGATCCTGTTCACTGCCTCCTCGGTGCCATTTATCCACCATAAGATCTTGCAAACAACCTG